CCTAAAAGCCCTGTGTGCTCTACCTATTCATCCCTCCCTCACTCCCCAATCCCTGGCAACCACTAGTCATTGTATTGTCTCCCTGGCCTTGCTTTTCTCAGAATGTCATATTGTTGGAATCATATAGTATGCAGCCTTTTCATATTGGCTTCTTTCACTCAATAATATGCATTTAATGCTCCTCCATGTCCTTTCATGGCTTGATAGATCATTTCTTTTTAGCACTGAATAACATTCCATTGTCTGAATGTACTGCAGTTTATTGATCTACTGAAGAACATCTTGGTTGCTTCCAAGTTTTGGCAATGATAAATAAAACTGCTATAAAGATCTGTGTGCAGGTTTTTGTATAAACATGTTTTCAACTCCTTTGGGTGGATACCAAGGAGTGTGATTGCTGGATCATATGATAAGAGTATGTTTAGTTTTATTAGAAATTGCCACACTAGAGCTGGGAGCTTTGGCTCATGCCTGTAATCCCAGCACTCTTGGGAGGCCAAGGCGGGAGGATTGCTTTAGGTCAGGAATTTGAGACCAGCCTGAGCAACATAGTAAGACCCTGTCTCTACAAAAAACAGAAAAATTAGCCAGACTGGGCAACAGAGTGATACCCTGTCTCCCTCTCCCTGCAAAAAACGAAAGAAACCTTCAAAGTGGCTGTACCATTTTGCATTCCTATCAGTAATGAATGAAACTTCCTGTTGCTCCACATCCTTGTCAGCAATTAATATTGTCAGTATTCTAGATTTTGGCCATTCTGATAGGTACACAGTGGTATTTAATTGTTGTTTTAATTTGCATCCTCTGTTGATATATGATGTGGAACATCCTTTCCTTTTTTCATTTCCTTACTTGCCATCTGCGTAACTCCTTTGGTAAGGTGTCTGTTAAGGTCTTTGACCCATTTTTTAATTAGTTTGGTTGTTTTCTTATTGTTGAGTTTTAAGAGATTTTTGTATGTTTTGGACAACAGTCCTTTATTAGATGCGTCTTTTGCAAATATTTTCTCCCAGTCTGTGGCTTGTCTTCTCATTTTCTTGAGGGTGTGATTCATTTTTTGCATTTTTGTTGTTGTTTTTAGCCTGTGAATGTCCATCTCTCCAGCCACATTTGTTGAAAAGACTGTTCTTCCCCTGTGGAACTGCTTCCTCACCTTCATCAAAAATATTGGTGTGGGTCTGTTCTGGGTTTGCCATTCTTTTCCAATGGTTGGCTTGATTCCTGTAGCTATATAATAAGTCTTGAAATCAGAGAGAGTGAATCTCTTCCCACTTTATTCTTTTTTGAAACTGTTTTTGATATTCTTGGACTGTGGCTTCCCATATAAATGTTAGAATAAATCTGTCTATGTCTGCAAAAAACCTTGCTGGGATTTTTGGTAGGCATTGCATACAAATAACAGATTAACTTGAGGAGAATTTACTTCATAACCATGCTGAGTCTTCCCCTCCGTAAACACATGGTATGACCTGCCATTTATTTAGGTCATCTTTATTTTTTTCATTATCATTTTGTAATCTTCAACATACAGATCCTGCATATATGTGAAATGTATACCTAGGTATTACAGTTTCTTTGGAGTAACTGTAAACGGTATCATGTTTTTAATTTTGGTGCTCACACGTTCATTATTAATGTATTGATTTTTTTCATGCCAGTCTTGTATCCTGTGACCTTGCTGAACTCTCATTAATCCCAAGAGGTTTTTCTGTAGATTTCTTGGGATTTTCTATGTAGATAATCATGTTATGTGCAAATAGGGACAGTTTTATGTCTTCTTTTCCGTCCTATATGCCTTTTCTTTCTTTTCTTTTCTCTTTCTTTCTTTCTTTCTTTCTTTCTTTCTTTCTTTCTTTCTTTCTTTCTTTCTTTCTTTCTTTCTTTCTTTTCTTTCTTTCTTTCTTTTTTCTTTCCTTTTAAAAATATTACCTGGCTGGGACATTCAGTGCTATGTTAACTAAGAGCAGTGAGAGAGGACATCTTTCCCTTGCTCCTGATCTTAAGGGGAAAACATTCAGTCTTTCACTGTTAAGTGAGATATTAGCTGTAGGGTTTTTTAAAAAATTAATACTCTTAATCAAATTGAGGAAGTTCTTCTCTATTCCTTGTTTGTTGTGAGTTTTCACCATAAATGGGTGTTGGATTTTGTCAAATGCTTTCTCTGCATCACTTAATGTCATCATATGATCTTTCTGGTTTGGTTTGTTTGATATGTTGTCTTACACTGATTATCAAGTGTTAAATTGGCCTTGCATACCTGAGATAAATCCCATTTGGTCATGCTGTAAATTATTTTTACATACTGGTAGATTCAACTTGCTGATATTTTGTTGGAGATTTTTCTGTCTAAACTCATAAGAAATAGTGCTCTGTAATTTTCTTTTTCAATCTGGTTTTGGTATCAGATACTAGCCTCACAAAATGAGTTGGGAAGTGATTACCCCTGTTCCACTTTCTAGAAAAATTGTGTAAAGAAATCTTACATTTAAAAAAAAATGTTGGTAACTAATTTCAGTTATTTTAAACACTCTATGGGCCAAACAAATGTGCCTGCCGGCTGGGGTTGGCTCAGGCCATGCCTCTCTACAATCTCCACTTAAAGGAATGTTCCATCTTGTCTTTCAGAGTGGAGAAGGGCACAATTTTGTCCTCCAGGGTACATTTGGCACTGTCTGGTGGCATTTTTGGTTGTCACAACTTAGAGGTAGGATACTACTGGCATCTAGTAGGTAGAGATCAGTGTGACTACAATATATCCTGCAATGCACAGAACAGTCTTTCACAACAAAGAATTATCCAGCACAAAAACACCAAGGGTGAGAAATCCTAGAATAGAGGGATTTTTGTCTTAACTGCTTTAACAGGACTCCTAGGGGAGGTGGGTAAACTCCTCTCATTTGAGATGAATTTCTACCTGAATATAGGCATAGTTTAAAATTTTCTTCCCATTACCTTTATTAAATCATATTGTCCAGAATTGAGTGCTTATTGTTCACTTAGGATACACTCACAGAAATGCAATTGCTGCATCAAACAAAGGGTGTGATACTTTCTGAAGGCTCTCACTATGTGCATATATTGCCAAAATGCTCTTCAGAAAGGTGGGGCCAGTTTATACCTCTCTCATCAGGGTGTGAGAGTCTGTCTTACTGCATGGACATTTTAATGCTTCAGATATTTGCTGATTAGAAAGGTAAAAATGCTCTGGGTTGAAATACCCTCATCCCTCTCTACCTGTCCCTTCATCTCTCACCTCCTACCAGCTCCCAACCCCTCCTCCCTGGATGCAAGCAGATGTTTTCCTGGCTCTGCAAGTTTTCACATCCCCACACTCAGCCAGACGTGATTCAGTGGGGCTTTATGGCATTGCTTTTAGGATTCCAGGACCAGCACATGGTTTGCCTTTTGTAAAGAAACAAGTGTGAATGAAGTATAGGTATGTTTGGCTGTAGAACTCAAGGTCCCAGCTGTCTCCTGGGTATCTCTACCCAGATGGCCCATAGCCAGCCCGAGTTCCTCTCACCTGTACTCGGCCTCCCTCTCCCAACATGCTCCTCCTCCTGGGTACCATGGTCTACCTGGCCATCCAAGTCAGAAATCTGGGAGTCATCCCTAACTCTGCCCATTCCCACCTCCACATCTAATAAATCACCCTGATTAATTAATTAATTAATTGATGATTGTCTGGCAGTTTAGCCTTCCAGATTTTTATTTAATTAGGATTTTTTTGGGTTGCAAGAAACACAAGCCCATCTCCAATGATCATATGCAGAGAAGGGGATTGCTGGTTTATACAGTAGAATTGAGAAGCCCACAGAGAGGGTCTAGGTACAATGGTGGCTGAGTCCAGAGGTTCAAAAGGTGACACTGGAGATCTACTGGATCTTGCTCTCTTTAATTGCTTAGTGTTCAGGAACATACGCTCAGCCTGGTAAAGTGCAGCGGCTCATGCCTGTAATCCCAGCACTTTGGGAAGCCAAGGTGGGAGGATCATTTGAGGCCAGGAGTTCAAGTCCAGTCTGAACAACATAGTGAGACCTCATTTCTACAAACAATTAAAAAAATTAGCAGGGCATGGTAGCACGTGCCTATAGTCCCAGCTACTCGGGAGGCTGAGGTAAGAGGATCACTTGAGCCCAGGAGTTGAGGTTGCAGTGATCACCATACTCTAGCCCAGGTGAGACCCTTTCTCTTTAAAAGAAACAAAAAAGAAAAAAATAACCAAGTCCCCAGCAGCTCCAGACTTCCCTGCTTCTTCCAGCCAATGGTCCAGCCTCTTGATTACCCCCTCTAATGACTCTGACTGGCCCTGATTGTGTCACGTGCCCCCTCTGGGGTCAATCACTGTGCCCAAAACATGGGATGCTTTGATAGCCAGCCTGAGTCATGCACCTGCCCCCCAAAGGTGGGCCCATCACTATGACGGCCCCATCAATATTGCTTGGAGTAGTTTCTCAAAGGAAAAAAAGTAGCACATATCCATTACATTGTCTTTCTAACAGCTTTTCTCCTCTCCATCGCCACCATGACAACCCTACCATCTCACAGCTGGATCACTGGGAACACCTCCACACTGGTGTCTCTGCCGAGCCAGCACGCTCCCCCACCCCACCCAGGCCCCCAGTCCTCTAGGGAGGCTCTCTAGCTGTGAGGTGCACTTGGCGGTCCCTGCATCTGCTTTCAGGTGAAGGCTTGGAAGGAAGTCTGAAGCAACATTCTGTTCACAGATTAAAGACCAGGCATTGAGGAGCTGCCACGTCACCAGGGCAAGGACAAGGGACAGGCCTGTCCAGTCCTGGCTGTTGTCTTCTTTGTATACCTTCAGGCTCTGGGCTCCTCTCTCTCTGTTGTCTCATTGCACCTGAGTATCGTGGGCAGGGTGGGAGCACACCACATAGGTTTGACCTGGGGGTAGAAACCAGCAAAGACTGTCCCTCTGGTCCTGTGGGGAATCCTGTCCCCTTCAGCCCATCCTAACAACAGGAACCCTTTGCTTTCAGCAGGAGGACTCCAGTTTGCATAACGTCATCCTGTGGCCTCCAAACCCTGAAACCCTACAGGTACTGGGGGTGTGATGTTCTGCACGGCTTGCCTCGGCCCCCTGCTAACCTCTGCTTGGTTGCAGACATTTGGTGTGGCACGTGCATTTGAATATTTAGGTTTTCTCCTCCTCCCTCTCCCATTGTCTCCTCCCTTCCACCCCAAATAAATTGGGAGACAGTAGAAATTGGCAATACGTGTCTACATTTTTTTAAAATAGCATTTTGTTGTGCCTGTCCGAGAACTGGCGTGGTTGATATGCTGTGCAGTGCTGAGTCAGGCTTATGTTGTCAGCAGAACGGAGCACGGATGCTGGGAGCCAATACTAACCTTCCAAAGGCTTCTGCTTGGATTTCCTTTGTCTGTGAGTGATGCTGGGAATGGCGCGGTGGCCCCACCTTCGCCGCCATTGGGCAAAACTGGTTTGTCATAAGAAAAGATTAAATTCTGAATCAGCTGTCAGTGCCATCATGCAAGAATGCAGCCAGCCGAGTTCCATGGTCTCAGCTCTGCCCGAAGTGTTTGCCATCCACTGGGGAAGGGGCAAGTAAGGCGCTTGCAGCCATGCCACAGTGGCTTTTCCTGAAGAGGACACTGAGGTTAGCCTGTGCCTGTGGGCGTGGTGAGGGCGGGGCGATACAGCATGCTGAAATCCTCTCCCCACTGGGCCAGGGGCCTCCGTCAACCAGGTGATGTGTTGTTCTTTGCCTTAACAAAAGAGCCACTCTCCCATGGAAGCTGGCTGCCAGGTGTAGGTGGGCTTGATGTATTTATCTCTCTGCGTATCCCAGCAAGGAGTGATGTCTGCGGTTGTGAAAAACAGTTTGCGTAGAGCACGGTGAAGCCTTTGCACACATGTGATTTCATCTGGTCCTCACAATCCCATGAGGTGGGCACACGCAGGCCGATGACTCGGGAGGTTAATCACCCAGGTCACTTGGTGAGTGGAGGGGTGAGAAGTCGCGCCCTGGCCTCCGTAGGGTCACACAGAATGGCTGGGCTGGTCGTTTTCAAACTGGGCTCAGGAGAGTCCTGGGGCCAACAGCGAGGATTCAGGGACTGGCCCAGGGTCAAGGGGGCCTGGAGAGGGAGAGTCCAGATCACCTCTCCGCCCATCTTCCTCCAGCCCAGTTTCCTTACATGGCCTTACATCGCAAGGTGGCTTTGGGAAGGAAATGTTTTGGAATCAGAGTTGGAAATAGACACCGATGTGGTCCGTCTCCGTTGTCTCTCAGTTTCGTGCGAGGTGGATCAGAAGGTCAAGGCACTCGCCGCTGCCATAAATCAGCGGCAGGTTCAAGGTGAGAGGCCCTCGTGGGGGTTCCTCATCTAGGGCTCCTCCGCGTGTCCCCGCCTGGGGAGGAGCGCTTTGCCAGGCTCGGGACTTGCCACAGCTCTTTGCAGCGCTCCAGAGCTCAGTCGCGAGTGCCCAGGTTGTGACTCGGCGAGGTGGAGCCCCTCCCTGCTGGGCGGTCGGTCCGCTGCAGGTGCTGTGGGCCCACAGAGCAGCCACACAAACCGTGTCCCTGCCTCGGGATCTCACGTCCAGTGGCGGGGGCGGGGCGGGGGGGGCAGTCAGACAAGTAAGTGAATAAACAGACAAACCAACAAGTAAATACAATGGATTTGTCTGAGCCTTTATAGAGTGCCTCTTGTTGACCAGGCATAATTCTAGCCCTTGAGACCCAGCAGCAAACGATTCAGCCATAATCTGCTCTAATGCAGCTTCCCCTCCATGGGGAAAACAGACAATGAGCTAGCAGGCAAGTAAACACATCGTAAAACTCCCAACTAGCCGGGACCAGGGGCTGTTTCTTGGTTTTATTATTGTGGTAAAGTATATGTGGCATAAACTGTATCCTGTTAACCAATTTTAGGTGTTCAGTTCAGCGGCATTAAGTGCATTCACATCGCTGTGCAACTGTCACCACCGCCCATCTCCAGAACTCTTTCATCTTCCCAAAGTGAAACTCTATAGCTTTTAAACACTAACTCCCCGTTATTTCTCTCCCCAGCCCCTGGAAACCATCCTTATACTTTCTGTCTCTGTGAAACTGTCTACTGTAGGTTGCATGTGAGTGCAGTCATACCACACTCGTGACTACTGTTTCACTTTTGTGACTTATTTCATAATAAGTGAAATAAGCGTGGCTTATTTCATTAAGCGTAAAGTCTTTGAGGTTGGTCCACGTTGTGGCATGTGTCAGAATTTCCTTCCTCTACCAGGCTGGATAATATTCCTCGTGTATAGACCACATTTTGCATATCCATTCATCTCGATGGACACTCGCGTTGCTTCTGTCCTTTGGCTGTTGTGACTAATGCTGCAATGAACATGGGGCACAAGTCTCTGCTTGAGTCCCTGCTTGCAGCCCCGTGGAGCACATACCTAGATGTGGAATTGCTAGATCATATGTCTAAGCTTTTGAGGAGCCACTCAACTTTTCCACAGCAGCTTCACTGTTTATATTCCCACCAGCAATGCAACAGCGTTCCAATTCCTCCATGTCCTCACCAATACTTGTTACTTTCTGGTTTGGGTTTTTTTTTTTTTAAATCATAATCATGCTAGTTGGTGTGAAATAGTGTCTCCGTGTGGTTAGGGGCAGTCAGGGAAGAACTCCCTGCAGAGATTTGACGTACTGAGGAGGAGGCAGCAGCCATGCAAGGTTCTGGAGAAGGAGCATTCCAGAATAGGGAATAGCAAGTGAGACAAGTCTGGGAAAAACAAGCTTGCTGTACTTTAAGATAAGCAAAGAAGACCCGTGTGGCTGGAGAGAATCAGACAAGGTAAATTATGGTGAGAGGTGCAGCCAGGGAGGTGGGCGGGGTGTGGGCTGAGTTTCATAGGTGCTTACCTGCCTTGGCGAGGAGTCGCGCTTCATTCCGCCTGTGATGTGATGTAGAGCCATGGGTGACACGGGAGTGTTTCACTGGGGTTTGGACACGTATGCTCGATCAGGCCCTGGAGGTGAGACCGCAGCCGCCAGGGCCCCCTGAGAAGGAGGCAGGGAACTGGCGGTGACCTGTGCACCAGCTCTGTCTGGCTTACAGGCGTGGGGCTCAGGCAGCAGCTGGGCCCAGCTCCTCCAGAACCCGCCATTTCGAAACTGACAAGCCAAGGACTTGCTACAACCAACGTAGGGAACTCTGTGTCTTTGGCCTTGACAAGTCCCACCATGGCGGTGGCGGTGTGTTCAGGGAGGTGGTCCCTGAGTCCTCACAGGGGCTGTGGTTCCTCATGTGTACCCGGTCCCCGGTGTGTACCCATCTATGCCAGTAAAGGCCCACTGTGCCACGCTCATTGTCCGGGTCGTTTATGGCTCAGCACTCACCAGGCCTCTGTCCTTGTTTCTCTTCTGTGTACTGGGTCAAGGAGCCGAGCCCCCACATTGGGTTTGGCTTGTTATTCTAGATGATGCTGAGGTCCTCGGATAACAGCAAGAAGCCGAGAGGCCAGAGGCTTCCAGGTGAGGCTTTCTGTAGGTGTGACCCTGGTGACAAGGAATGGGCTTAGCAGCATCATAGCATTAAAGAGACACCGGGCTTTGTGGGGGGGAAGAAGCGAAACGGCTTAGAAATAACACTGGGGAGCAACAAGGTTTCTGACTCCGTTTGCAAGCCGTGATGTTCTGGGTGTGTGGAAGAAAAGTCAGCCCCCACCCCACCCTGAGAAGGCTGCAATCTGGTGGGCTCTCGGAGGTCAGCTGGGCTTGGGGTAAGGTGGGAAGGCCCAGAGTCTGTTCTGTGAAGATCATGGGATGTGGGGGTCCAGGCTGCAGAGGAGGTGTGTGTGCCGGGGTGGAGATGAGGTCCTATGGTGGGGTGCATGGAGCAGCACAGGATTTGGGGTGGGGGACCAGTGCTGGGGACCGGACCTTCACGCAGGGAGGCGAGTGCTGCAGGACCTCCCCTCAGAGCTGCCTGGCCAGGGGCTGGCAAATTACGTTTAACAATTTTTGCTTTTGAAGTTTTTTGGCAACAACTCATTTGTTGAATCAATTACGGACCGATTTATCTTACTCAAGAAGTCAAGTTTAATAACATCACAATAGTCCTACTTTGGGATCCTGCTGATGAGCCACAGTCCTTTCTTGTTTCATCAGCACAAATGCTATTTAAACTCTGAAGTGAGTCGTGTGGCCTTGGGTTTGTGCTGCGTTCCCAGGGGAGGAGAAACCACAGACAGAGGACAGTTCCCACGCCCAGACTGAAACCCGCTCTGTTTGCTGAGGGTCCTCTTACTGAGCTGAGGCTTTGGGGTCTTAGCCCGGACCCCCTCTTTGGTGCCTTTTGCTGAACGCTAAGTCCTGGCTGTCACTCCCGGTCACTTTGGGCTCCTGGCAGGCTGTTCTCGGGGAGTGCTGGGCAGCCCGGGTTACTGACGTTCACAGCTGTGACTCACGCCCAGGCCCCAGGCCCTTCCTGCCCAGGGACCCTTCTTCCTGCACATTTATTGGTTGGGAACAAAGAGAAAGCCACACATACAACCAAGGCTCTGGGGGTGACTTGTCTGGGGTTGGGAGGGCACAGACCAGTGGGAAGTCAGCAGAATGTCTAATACCGAGTCAGGGTGAGCCTCAGCTGTCCCCAGGAGTGTCAGGGTCCTGGTTTATGTGAGTCCCTCTCTGGGACAGAGGCGGTGGTGGCACTGTGACAAGAGCAGCCTCCACCCAACAGCCTTTCCTGAGTTTCAGTGCACCATGACTTGCACGGAAGGATTTGTGGGGAGACAAGGGCTGTGCCAGCCATACCCCAAATTGTGGAGTGGACGTAATAATCATTCCTTCAAGGGAGGCCTAAAGAGGTCACCTGAGCTCCGAGCATGTAAATTCCAGAGAAGGCCAGCCCCTACACCAGCCTGGTGTTACCACCTTCTGGGCTTCCCCCTGGCCATGGGGCTGTCATGGTCCCCATTTAAGGTTCTGACTGTGTTGGGCAGGGGAAATAGACATTCAATCTTACTATTATGATGGCCTGACTTAAAACTATGTGGTCATTAAATAACTCCTTTCAAACA